TACGTCCTCCCCATGACAAGTGACAGAATTATTGTCAGGACAGATGGGGGAACAAAACTGACAATGTGAACTTCTTGGAGATTTTGGTCCTCAGAGGGCCCAGCTAGTGCTTTTGAGGCCTCTTGGCATCTTGTAGCACCCACACCAGCCACAGAGTCACTGATAATTAACCAAATGGATTGAAGCTTTCTCTCCATCTTGGCACCAAGGGTCTGACGTTGGTCCTCACTCACACTCAACATCAATAGACGCAAATCTACTTAAGTTCTGTGTATCAACTAAGGGAAAGGTGAAAGTCAAATATTTTAAGACAATAAGGAGTGTAGTTATCTCCAGGGGGACTTTATTAGTTTTCTATTGCTGTGTAACAATTTACCATAGAATTTAGCAACTTCCAGCAACAAACATTTATTATTTCTCAGTTTCTGTGAGTGGGAAGGCTAGCTTAGCTGGGTGGTTCAGGCTCAGGGTCTCTCATGAAGTTGCAGTCAAGCTGTTGGCCAGGGCTGCGTCAACTGAGACTGAAGGCTCCACTTCCAAGCTCACTCAGGGGGTTTTGGCAAGCCTCAATTCCTTATTGGTTATTGTCTGGATACTTCAGTTCCTCACCATGTAGGCTACCTGAATGTCCTCGTGGCATGGCAGCCGGCTTCCCGCAGAGTGAATAATCAAAGAAAGGGAGGGAGTAAACCCAAGATAAGACAGAAGCTTCACTCTTTTTATGACCTAATCTCAAAAGTGATATACCATCACTTCTTTAGTATTCTATTTGTTAGAAGCAAATCTCTAAATCCAGCCCAGCTAAAGGGAAGGGGAGTTAATATCCACCTCTTGAAGGGAATAAATTAACAAAGAATATGTGGGCATATTTTTTAAACCACCACAGGAACCCTAATTAATCTCTAAGAGGTGGTATGACACAGTGGTTAAGAGCATAAATTTGAGACTCATACATATTTAAGTTTAATCCTAGCTCCCACGTTTGCTACTTGTGCAGTTTTAGGCAAGTTTTGCCTAAAATTGACCTTTCTCAGTCTCGATTTCCTATTCTATAAAATGTTGCTGTTAGGTGCTGTCGAGTCGGTTCTGACTCATGGAGACCCTACATACAACAGAAGGAAACACCGCCCAGTCCTGCGCCATCCTCACGATCGTTGCTATATTTGAGCCCATTGTTGTTGCCAGTGTGTCAATCCATCTCATTGAGGCTCTTCCTCTTTTTTGATGACCTTTACTTTACCAAGCATGATGTCCTTCTCCAGGGACTGGTCCTTCCCGATAACATGTCCAAAATATGTGAGATGAATCTCTAAAATAGGGATAAGAAATAGCAGATGTTTCACAGGGTTGCTGTGAGACTTAAGTAAGATCAGGCATGTAAAGTGCTTGGCACGGAATAAGTACTCAATACATATTATTTAATTGCTACTGTAAAGGGATATTACCATTGTCTTCTTTCACAAGAAGCAGTATAGCATAGAGATTAAGAACACAGGTTCTGGAGTTAAACTGCCTGGGTTGGGTCCCTAGTTCTGCCAGTCACCAGCTGTAGGAACTAGGGCAAGTCAGTTAATATATTTTGGCCCTGGCTTTCTGTAAAAGAGGATAATAATAGCTACTGCCTGGCCACCTAATAGGTGTTCAGTAAATATCTTATGAATAAAGAAATAGTGGATGATGGAGGGATATAATGACAAAGGTGTACATAGCGTATGTGTGCACATTTGGCTCCAAGCACCTTCTGCTTAACTAGGGAGCCCTGTACAGCTGTCCCATTCCATCTGAATGTGCCCTTGTGCATGTCAACCCCCAGGAGCTACCCAGGGTTACCATCCCTCATAGGCTATTGTTTTTGGTCTCATTGTTTAGCTTCTTTCCCACCTTGGTTTTGTTCAAGCATACTTCCTTCATCGTCCCGGCTGCTTCCACCAAGAATATGTTTAATTGGCTTTGCACAGAAGCAGGTGATTCAGTGACAGGATGGGGGGGGAGGGGAGTGGATCCCATGTCACACCACCTCGGAGCTGCTACATTACCTTAAATTGATTTCGCAAATGAAAGCTAAAAGCTAAGCAAAGGCAACCCATCCATTTTGCCTAAAGATGATTATAATGCTCTTTTATGGCCTTCTAAATGACAAAGCAATTTGTTACCTGCCTGCATCAACATTTGCTTATATTGGCACCCTAGATGCTTGATTTTTATTAGCCCCATGGTATCATTTTATGAAGATGCAGGGGCTCAGTAAAATTAGTATGCAAATAGAATGCCCGTTTTGCATTTCCCTGTGGTCAGCAGAAATGCTGAATGCAATAGAGTTGATACTGGGTCAGGGGAAACATCCATAAATGTAGCCTTCATCGAGGGCCTCAGTAATGCCATTTATCATTTCTGGACTGCTGGGATAGAGGGGGTCAATATTAGTCTGTGTTTTGTAAAAAAGCCTTTTTTAAAAATTTTTTTAAGTGAAAAGCAGTATAAATACCAACTTCAGCGTCCTCCCATTAATGACAGATGAAGTCAAGCTCTCTTATGGACATCGTAGATAGAAGTGCAGCAGATGTGTGATCTTATATTGTTGTTAGTGGATCCGGGAGGAAACATATGGGGTAGTGAAAGGACCACTGGGCTGGGAACCAGGGCCTGACTCTACCACTGCTAGCTGCATGACCTTGGGCATGTCCCTTCCTTCTGTGAGCCTTAGTTCTCTCATGTGTAAAATAGGATTAATACTGCCCACCTCACAGAGACATGATGAAGACTAAATGACATAATATGTGTTTGAATTTCCTTATAAACCACAATCTATACAAGTATTTTTTATTTATTCATTCAGCCATCAGTCTTTGAGCATGTACTCCATGCCAGGCCCTGTGAAAGACACTAGAGATAAACCAATGAAAGGCACAGTTTCTCCCTTGAGGATCTTATAGTCAATCCAGGAAATGTCCAAGTGTCTAACTCCTGTTTCAGACCATAAAATTTTCAGGGGAGTGAGCCTTTTCTCTCTCCTTCTTTCTTAAAACTGCGTGGCATAAAGCTGAGCACACAGTGGGTCCTCATGAATCTATTTTGGCTCCATTATATTTCCTGCTGCCTTTAAGGGACTCATTATTGGGGAAGCAGTGACCCCACCCTACTGGTCACCCTAATAGGTCAAGTAAGTGTCACGCTTTAGAAGAAACAGATTGAATAGAGTTAATATTCCTTAGTCTCTGCCATTGGTACATCAACTGTTGGGATCATGAGTCACATTCAAAATGACCTGTCTCCAGCATTTCAGAAACAGAAAGCCTGTTAATTATTCCTACACCCCCCAATCATTCTCTAATACCGATGGAATCCTTTGATCCTGCTTCTCTCAGTTGTCCTTCCTGAGTTGTCTTCGGGTTATAGTTCTGTTCCGTGTTAATCAGTTCTTCTTCTGTCCATGGCTAAGTACCACCCCCTACCCCACCCCTTCTTTCTGGGAGTGTAACTCTTGGCTGCTGCTTTTGTCTAATAATATCTTTGCACAGTAGCTAAACTTTCTCATACAAGAAGGTTTCTGTAGAGGCAACAGGACTGGGGTTCTGATTTTGGGTCACATTTCCTACTTCTTTGGATGTTTAGTAATTTTTTATTGGATGCAAGATATTGTGAATTATATATCGTTGAGTGTCTGGACTTTGTTTTCTTCCTTTAAAGAACACCAAACTTTGTCTAGCAGGCAGCTATGTTTCTTTCATTCGGTTTGATCCTATTGAGATATATTTTAACGCTTTGCTAGAGTGGATCTAGAGTGGTTTATGTCCACCACTAAGGCATAGCTCTTTTGAGATCTCTACTGAATGCCCTCAATGAGCAATGAGGACTTCCACTCTGGTGGTGGAAACCCAGATGATTCCTAGCCCCTGTGAGCCCTGAAAACTGTTCAGTTTACAGCTCCCTCATCACTTTTTCCTGAAATCATGAAGGTCTGCCCTAAGCATGCATATCTTAGAGGCTCAAGAGGACTTCTTTGCAGATTTCTGGAGCTCTTTTTCTACAGAGTACCCTCCTCTGTGGAACCTGGCTTTACAAATTCCAACTACCTCAGACTCCCTGAATTTTAACCTCAGTGAGACTACCATGCTGTGCTCAGGATACCCCTCTCTGCTCTGTGGTCTGGAATAGACCTCCAGGCAGAAAGCCAGAGCAGTCATAGGGCATACCTCAGTTTTTCCCCCACTCTCAGGGATTACAGTCCTGCACCACCTCTTGTCTAATGTCTGAAAACTGTTGTTTTGTATATCTTGTCCAATTTTCTAGTTGCTTAGGGTGAAAGATAAATCATGTCGCTATTAACTTCATCAAGACCAGACAAAGACTTCGGTTCTAATCTCAGCTCTACCACCTATTAGTTGTGTGACCTTAACAAATCATATAACCTCTTTGAGTCAATTTCTGATTTTATAAAAGGAATATTAACAGTGCAGGTTGTTGTGAGGATTATAAATAATGTATATAATGTGCCTGACACAAAAGGAGGTAATTAAGCAGCAGCTTCTGTTACTATTATTAATATAAATAGCTAACTTCTTTATCATTTACTCAGTGTTTGCTGTGTAATATGCAATGTGTAAGCTTGCTTAATCATCATAACAACCTTACAAAGTAGATACTATTATCCTCATTTAGATGAGCCCATTGAAACTCAGAAAGAATACACAACTTGTCCAAGGTCACAGTCAGTGTATCTGGGAGTTGATTTCACTCATATGACTTCCTCATATGATTGTACTATTTAACATTATCAGTTACATCAAGGAAAGATAATGTGGTCCTTTCAGTATTGGGTATCCAAGGACATAATTAGTTAGAAACAGCTAGGTCTTAATGGTTCTGATCCAATGATTTAAGAGGTAACAAATGTAAAGCACCCAGCCCAGTCCCCATCCCTCACCAATACCCCAACCTATAGTCTCAGCTTTCGTCACTCTTTGCTCTTCTTAGAAACCCTCTTTCGTTTTATCTTACAGACAACCTTCGGGAAGGGGCAGAGCAGAAGGTGGTATTCATCACCGGACGAGTCCACCCAGGGGAAACACCCTCTTCATTTGTGTGCCAAGGTGAGTTGCAGGATCTCATGGATATCCTGTGCCTACCCCCACATCCAACTAGGGCACTCTGGTGGTCTCTGGGACAGCTTGGTCACATGCAGAGTCATTATCTTGATGGAAATGTACTTCACTTCTTTAAAGAGGGCACTCCTGATCTCTATTGGGATTTATTTCAATAAATGTTTATTGACTGGATGTATGTACAGATGAATGGATGAAAGAATGCATGAATAAATGAATAAGTTGGGCTGAATGAAGCTCCCTAGTGTGTACTACATTGCAGAGGAGCCATACAGAATCATCCATACTCCTTAACTCTGTTTCACTTGTCTCCAGCAGTTTATAACAGCAGGAAATCTGGCCCAAGGTCAACATGTATGTTGGCAGAAAGGCCATGAGATAGGAAGGCAAGGGCTGAAAATTATTCATTCACTCATTTATTCAATCATTTGCTCAACAAAAAACTTTTGAAATTACCTACTATGAGGTGGGAAGTATGCTTAGCATCTTACATCTAATATATATATATATTTAGTTGCATTTTTAATTTATTATTAAATATTTAATATATGCAAAAGTGTTTATTTAATTAGTCAGCAATATATATGTATACATAGAAGCCCTAGTGGTACAGAAGTTAAAGTGCTTGGCTGCTAACCAAAATGTCGACAGTTTGAACCTACCAGCTGCTCCGAAGGAGAAAGATGTGGCAGTCTGCTTCCATAATGATTTATAGCCTTGGAAACCCTACAGGGCAGTTCTACTCTGTCCTTTAGGGTCGCTGTGAGTTAGAATGAACTCGATGACAGTGGGTTTGGTTTTGGTTTTATATATGTATACATACATACATATTCAGTTTGTCAGCAGTGTAAATATATTCAATAAATAAGATGTAAATAATAATGTAAATATAATGAATGCCAAGGTATCCCCTAGCTTAAGAGACAGAATATTGCCTATGCCTTTGAAGTCCTTTGTATTCCTTACCTCTCCCATCCCACAAACTTTATCGTTCTTAATAGTTTTGCTATGAATGTACATATCCCTAAGCAATGTAGTTTTTGGTTTCACATCTCTTTGACCTTTATGAAAATGGTAACACTTTGTCTGCATTCTGAGACTTGTTTTTCACCCAGCATCCATGTTGATGAGTATAACTACAGTTCACTCGTTTTTACTACTCTGTTGTATTCCATATGTCTATAGCACAACTTACTTAGCCACTCTCCTGATGATGGATAATCAAGTTGTTTACAGTATTTTTTCTTACAAACTGTCTTAGTTATCTAGTGCTGCTGTAACATAAATACCACAAGTGGATGGCTTTAACAAAGAGAAATTTATGCTCTCACAGTCTAGGAGGCTAGAAGTCCAAATTCAGGGTGCCAGCTCCAGGGGAAGGCTTTCTCTCTCTGGGCTCTGGGGGAAGGTTCTTGTCATCAATCTTCCCCTGGGCTAGGAGCTTCTCAGCACAGGGCGCCAGGTCCAAAGGACATGCTATACTCCTCGCTCTTGTTTCTTGTTGGTATGAGGTCCCCTGTCTCTGCTCACTTCTCTCTTTTATATCTCAAAAGAGATTGACTTAAAACACAACCCAATCTTGCAGATTGAGTCCTCCCTCATTAATATAACTGCCTCAGTCCTGCCTCATTAACATCATAGAGGCAGGATTTACAACACATAAGGAAATCACATCAGATGACAAAATGGTGAACAATCACATAATAGTAGGAATCATGGCTAGCCAAGTTGACAGATATTTTTTGTTGTTGTTGTTATTAGGTGCCATGGAGTCTGTTCCAACTCAGAGCGACACTACATACAGCAGAAAAAAATACTGCCTGATCCTGCACCATCCTCACAATCATTGTTATGCTTGAGCCCATTATTGCAGCCACTGTGAGACTCCATCTCGTTCAGGGTCTTCCTCTTTTTCGCTGACCCTCTACTTTACCAAGCATGATGTCCGTCTCCAGGGACTGACGCCTCCTGATAACATGTCCAGATATGTGAGATGTAGTCTCCCAATCCTTGCTTTCTAAGGAGCATTCTGGCTGTACTTCTTCCAAGGCAGATTTGTTCATTCTTCTGGCAGTCCATGGTATATTCAGTATTCTTCACCAACGTTGTAATTCAAAGGCATCAATTCTTCTTTGGTCTTCCTTATTCATTGTCCAGCTTTTGTATGCATATGAGGTGATTGAAAACACCATGGCTTGAGTCAGGCACTTTAAACTTAAGGTGATATCTTTGTTTTTCAATACTTTAAAGATGTCTTTTGCAGCAGATTTGTCCACTGCAACGTGTCATTTGATTTCTTGACTGCTGCTTCCATGGGTGTTGATTGTGGATCCTAGTAAAATGAAATCATTGACAACTTCAATATTTTTTCCATTTATCATGATGTTGTTTATTGGTCCAGTTGTGAGGATTTTTGTTTTCTTTATGCTGAAGTGTAATCCATACTGAAGGCTGTGGTCTTTGATCTTCATCAGTAAGTGCTTCAAGTCCTCTTCACTTTCAGCAAACAAGGTTATGTCCATCTGCATAATGCAGGTTGTTAATGAGTCTTCCTCCAATCCTGATGCCCCATTCTTCTCCATACAGTCCAGCTTCTTGGATTATTTGCTCAGCATACAGACTGAATAAGTGTGGTGAAAGGATACAACCCTGACACACACCTTTCCTGACTTTAAACCACGTATTATCACCTTTGTTCTGTTCAAATGACTGCCTCTTCATCTATGTACAGTTTCCTCATGAGCACAATTAAGTGTTCTGGAATTCCCATTCTTCAAAATATTATCCATAATTTGTTATGATTCACAGTTGAATGCCTTTGACTAGCCAATAAAACACAGGTAAACATCTTTCTGGTATTCTCTGCTTTCAGCCAGGATCTATCTGACATCAGCAGTGATATCCCTCATTCCATGTCCTTTTCTGAATCAGGCTTGAATTTCTGGCAGTTCCCTGTTGATGGACTGCTGCAGCCACTTTTGAATGACCTTCAGCAAAATTTTACTTGTGTGTGATATTAATGACATTGTTCAATAATTTCCACATTTGGTTGGATCACCTTTCTTTGGAATAGACATAAATATGGATCTCTTCTAGTTGGTTGGCCAGGCAGCTGTCTTTCAAATTTCTTGACATAGATGAGTGAGAACTTCCAGCACTGCATTAGTTTGTTGAAACATCTCAGTTGGTATTCCCTCAGTTCCTAGAGCCTTGTTTTTCGCTAATGCCTTCAGTGCAGCTTGGAACTCTTCCTTCAGTACCATTCGTTCCTGATCATATGCTACTTCCTGAAATGGTTGAACATTGACCAGTTCTTTTTGGTACAGTGACTCAGTGTATTCCTTCCATCTTCTTTTGATGCTTCCTGTGTCATTTGATATTTTTCCCGTAGAATCCTTCAATATTGCCACTCGAGGCTTGAATTTTTTCTTAAGTCCTTTCAGCTCAAGAAATGCTGAACATATTCTTCCCTTTTGGTTTTCTAACTCCAGGTCTTTGCACATGTCATTATAATACTTAGAAATCTTCTGTTCCTTTCTTTCACTTCATCATTTCTTCCTTTTGCTTTAGCTACTTGACGTTCAAGAGTAAGTTTCAGAGTCTCCTGTGACATCCATTTTGGTCCTTTCTTTCTTGTCCTTTTAATGACCTCTTGCTTTCTTCATGTGTGATGTCCTTGATGTCATTCCACAACTCGTCTGGTCTTTGGTCATCAGTGTTCAATGCATCAAATCTATTCTTGCATTGGTCTCTAAATTCAGGTGGGATATACTCAAGGTCGCACTTTGCCTCTCTTAGGCCTGTTCTAATTTTCTTTAACTTCAACTTGAACTTGCATATGAGCAATTGATGGTCTGTTCCATAGTTGGCTCCTGGCCTTGTTCTGACTGATGATATTGAGTTTTTCTATCATCTCTTTCCACAGATGTAGTCTATTTGATTCCTGTGTCTTCCATCTGATGAGGTCCATGTGTATAGTCACCATTTATGTTATTGAAAAAAGGTATTTGTAATGAAGAAGTCATTGGTCTTGCAAAATTCTTTCATGTGATCTCCTGCATTGTTTCTATAACCAAGGCCATATTTTCCAACTACTGATCCTTCTTCTTTGTTGCCAACTTTCACATTCCAGTCACCAGTAATTATCAATGCATACTGTTTGTATGTTTGATCAATTTCAGACTGCAGAAGTTGGTAAAAATCTTCAATTTCTTTATCTTTGGCCTTAGTGGTTGGTGCGTAAATTTGAATAATAGTCATATTAACTGGTCTTCCTTGTAGGCGTATGGATATTATCCTATCACTGCCAGCGTTGTACTTCAGGATAGATCTTGAAACGTTCTTTTTGACGATGAATGCGATGCCATTCCTCTTCAAATTGTCGTTCCCAGCATAGTAGACCATATGATTGTCCAGTTCGAAATGGCCAATACCAGTCCATTTCAGCTCACTAATGCCTAGGATATCAATGTTTATGTGTTCCATTTCATTTTTGACAATGTGCAATTTTCCTAGATTCATACTTAATACATTCCACATTCAGATTATTAATGGATGTTTGCAGCTGTTTCTCCTCATTTGGGGTCATGCCATATCAGCAGATGAAGGTCCCAAAAGCTTGACTCCATTCACGTCATTAAGGTCGACAGCTCTTCCCCAGTTGTAATTTGAGTGTCTTCCAATCTGAGGAATTCATCTTCTGGCACCATATCAGACAATGTTCTGCTGCTATTCATAAGGTTTTCACTGGCTAATTCTTTTTAGAAGTAGAGGCGTGGTCAACATGGCAGACTAGTTAGACGCTTCCTATATCCCTCTTACAACAAAGACCTGGAAAAACAAGTGATTTGATTCTATCTGAACATCTGGCAGCCCTGAACAAGGCAAGGTTAAGAAATCCATCTGAGTCATACCGGAGAGGAAGACCGTTTGGAAGAGGTGAGGAGCGCTAGAGCTGCCGTGGCGACACAGCAGAGGCACAGCCACGC